CTGTGTCTCCATGGAGAAAAGCTGGGGTATGTGAAAAGATGCATTCCTAATGCAAGAAGTTGTATAGGGCTAATAAAGAAACATTATTATTATAAATAATCCCCATTGAAGTTGGCAGAGCTTGAAATCTGACAAAAAGAAAGGGCAAAATTGAACAAAACAAATGTACAGATCGGGTACTTTCCTCAAATTACTTGCAGGTGTAACTACTGCCAAAGTTACTTCCAACCAATATTGAGTTAAGCAACATATTCCAATTTTTTAAAAAGTTTTTGCCTAATGTAACTCATTTTGTATGGTGAAGACTTCAGTTTGAGCATTCAGATATTGAATAAAATATTGTTAATGTGCATGCATTATTTTGTAATTTCACCAAATGGGACTATTACAATGTGATAAAAAGATGCAGAAAACCATGTCTTGCTGAGGAATTCAAATTGTTGATACAAATGGACAAGAGGTGTCACCAATAGCAGGACTAGAATGGTATACCGAGGCAGGCAGAGATAGCTGAAGAGGTCAGATGATAACACACAAACTGATCTGAGACAGAAGGCGAGTGCAGTTATCTTGTGCCACCCACAGGGCTGAAAGGCAGGTGATTTGGTTCTTTTCTTATGGGTCCAGTAATCAACAGGACACACAGGTGCCTACAGGCAGAGTGGGTTTGAGACATACAGGTCAGGCTGATGTCTTTCTTGAAAGTAGACTTGTTGTCCTGCAAGCATTACACTGGTCAGAAGGTAGCTCAACAGATCAGTGGCTGATCAGGTTTAAATATCCTAGACTAATGGATAAATCACCCATTAACTGGAGACAGGCATGGAGGACAAGAGGCCCAAACAATTTCTTATGGCCCTAGGACTTCAAATCCGTATGCGAATGTGATCAGTTTCCAAGGAGACCGAGGGCTGTGAGCTCTGGCTCGCTCGGGTGTTATAGAGATATTATAGGAAGGGTTTGAATACTTCTGCAAAATATTGTGAATACCATTTCTTAATTTATGAGGAACGAGTTCTCTCTTTGGGGTGACACATGGGCGAAGTAGCTAGCATTGCTGCTGGTAAGTTAATTGGCTTCTGGGAAAATTGGCCCTGCTGTGTGTGTCAGTGTGTCCTGTCTAGGGAATATCCTACTATCCAGCCTTGGGCCCGTTGTTTGACAGCATAGAGTCCAGCTGCCCTGTGAACCTGAATTGGATAAAATGGTTACAAAATGAATGTAATGACTACAAGAGTGTGTAATTATTTCCAGAGTATTTACAAAATACTAACAATGGGGGATTGAATTAACGTGATGTGAGCTCATGACTTTCAACTATGCAATGGAATTAAGATTACTTTATAACAGTTTTACATGTTTTAACCAAAATTTAATATCTTTAAATCATTCTGTTATGTTATTTTTTCTGTTGCTATTTCACTGTAGGTATGAATTAAAATGAAGTGTGCTATATATGATCTGCCCAATCGTACTTAATTTGTTAATATTTTTACTTTGTGGTAAAAATAAATTTTAGACTGGTGGGTGAAGACAGTTTGATAATTCTGTTAGCAAAAATAATATATAATTAATGACATTATACAACTTTACTACTATGCTCCCTCACAGTTATGTGTGAATATGAGAACTGTATTAATGTTGTGTCATAACCATTAATTTGAAATGAAGTGTGAGGCTCATAAGCGAGATATTTTTATATCAGAACCTGTCATAACAGAATAATTTTACTTACATAATTTCTTAAAATAACAATGGCAGATGGCAAGGATTGAATTTCCATCTCTTTGTTCGCAGTGTCTGCATAAAAACCGTGAAATGAATAAATCTCAAAGGAGGGAAGAGATGATAATGGTATTAGCACTACTTTACAAAAATTATGTCTTTTAGTGATACAAACCAAAAATAAAACATTACCAATGTAATGGAATATTTGACTTAAAATAAATAGCATGGTTAATTCATGTTGAATGATGAAAAAAAAAGATTAAATGTAGCATAGTTCATGAATACTTACCGATGTCTTGTGAAGTCAATGTTGGAAGATGTGTGTAAAATCAGATTTTCCATAACTTACTATAAAGTTGGAGCAAATGAAGACACCTGATTTTTTACTGTTTTTTTGTTTTTAATCGTGTAGATTTTTATTGTTACATAACTTATTTTAGATGTGAATTTCCCTGTGGCCTGTCCTTTCTTATTCGCTAAATTCACTGCTGGAGAGAAGCAAGCCTAGGTGTTTTTTTATGTGTCAAATTAAAAGCAACACAAACTTATCACTGAAAGATAATTATTTGCGTAATAAAATTATGATTTTAAAACGTTGTTAAAATATTTTCTACTTTCTTTCATCTACAATCCAAATGCTCTGCTTTAAAATTTTAAGGAATTTTTTAAAAAAATATTTACTGTACCTCCTGCAAATCTAATGACTCATAGTGTTGATAGGCAGAATGCTTGACAAGACCTGTTAATACTATATGTTAGCAGCTACAATCTTTTGTCCTGTCATACTGATAACACGTACTATGTGTTGACATGGTATTTGTTTCTTTAGTAAAGAAAGTATAGGTTTTAAAATCATAATGCAGAATTGTTTTTTATTTTTGGAATAGCTATTTGGCACAGGAGCCCTTTATGTTATTCTGATTAAGGCGAAATATTAACAAGTTTGTATTGCAACTCTAATATGTTTGAAAATGGAAAGACAGTTTTATCTAGATATACAGTTTTTAATAAAATATTGCCTTCTGTATGAAATCCAAATGTGGGCAGCTTCCTGGTGTAGACAGCTGGCAATATGCCATCTGTGTCTCAATTTAAGACTTGTGAAACACACTGAACGGTTTTTAGTGTTATAAATATGCCCACTTCTTAAAAATATGCCTTTATAGTAACTCTTTCAAGATTCTTCCTCACCTTATTCCTTCATGAAAAATGACTTTTTCGAACTTTGGCAGCCCATTCTCACACCTGTTTCACCTTGCATAGTAATCATTCAAAGCACAGCTACAATGCCCAGAATGAACAAGAGCAGTTGAGTAATAAATTGGTCTGGCACAAATCTGATACAAAAGACACATATTCTCTTTTTTATTATTCTGAAAAAAATAAGTTGTTAATGCCATGCACAAAAGTCAGGTAGTGAGGCTAAGAATTCAGTATTTTGTATGGCATTGATCCTTCCTTTATGCATACAATCTACCTTTTAAAATTCCAGAATGAAAAATCATTAGGATAAATTATGGTGGGTCAGTTGACATTAAGGAATATCTTATGTTGAGTGTGACCCCCTTTATTTTGTGTGTTTTGTACACTAATTACTCACAATTATCATTTTACTCATAGAATCACCATGTGCTTTTTTACATGTATTCTAAATGTCTATATTTTCAGTCTTCCCTCCCCTCAATAGCACTTGCTGACAAGGATGTGGCCATGTATTTCTTACATCTATTGGTAATACTGTATTTTTTTCAGTTTTAACATCTTGGCTTGACACTTACTGCTAATGAAAACTCACCACTTCCTTGCCAGATGAGCACTCTGTTTTTCACCTTAGTCATACACAACTTATGTTTCTGCTGTAAATTTCAAAGGAAAGTGGGAAATGTTATATTGAAAGTTTAGATATCCCCCAAAAAGGCAAAAATGAAGTGAACAAGAGGTTCAAAAGAAATTAATTATAGTTAAAAAATGTTCATGAAAGGTGCACTGTGTAGCAAAGCACTGCAGTCCTGTGACTCTTATTTTCTTACACAGTTCTATTATTTTCCTGATATTAAACAGTAAATCAAAATTATAGAAGACAGATAGTGAGCAATAAATATGAGAAACACATATCAGTTGACTTTATTAACTTTTCATACTTTTGGGATTAGGGTAGGCTTCAACAGGATGAAATTGCAAACTGCAAATCCAGAACAAAGCTGAAAAACAGCAAAGTACCTTTTTTAAAGCAACATATACACAGTTTCCTATGCTTGGTTTCAAACTAATATGGTTAAGTAAGTAATTGGGCTTTCCACAAGCTTGACATCACTAGAAGTTACACAAAATCTCAATAAATAAAAGAAAGACCATGTAGTGGACTCAAAGGTTTTATGTTTCAAATCTGTGGCATGTCTTGTGCCTTTGTTGAGTTATGAGTTATTGTGACAACTATATATCAGTGCAGTGACAAAAGGATAAAAGATGAAAGGGTAATCTCTCAGTTTTTTTCAGTACCCTTCTTCACATACACATAGAATTTGGAATCACTAATTTTTAATCAGCTTCACGTTAATACTTGGTGCCTTAATATGTGCCACATCACAAGGCTCACAATGCTCAGACTTTGGGTTGAAAGCTTGCTGTAGTTTTCACTGACAGCCACACAAGCTCACAAGCACCCAGCAGGCTACAGGAGTTGCTGTTATTGGGTCAGGGTAAGTGTTGGTGCTGATCTGAGGATACACTGGTCATCTGCAGGGCACTCAGCCCCACTCTTGTTGCTCAGCTGTTTGTGGAATCTAGACTACAGAACCCTAATGGTATTATACAGATTCAAACAGCTGATGTACCTGTAATTGTTAATCTATGTGTATACAGAATAATTCATACCTGCAGAGAATTATTCATAGCTGGACAGTATATTGTTTTTTTACCAAATGTATCATAATTTTTTTGTTATGAGTTTTTAATAATTTGTCATTCATTCAAAATGAAGCTGTTCATGTATTTTAAAAATGAAATCTCTTTACTTCACAGTCTTAATCTTTAGACCTTAACATTCATGATGACAGAGCTTTGTCTTTTTCAGAGAAGTAAAAAATAAAAAAATAGCCAAAAATGATAATGGCGATGCTTATGAGCAAGAACCATTAAAATGGTATTATGGATTTGTATATCTGAATTATGAAACATAAAACTATCAATATTGACACTGTATGACAGGTAATCAAAATAAACAGACTATCTGGACATGAGAAAAGCAATTTGTGACAGCAACCTTGGACAAATTGGTTTTTAAAAAGCTTCATTTAATTGACAATAAGATAAATTAACTGACAATAATAACAGAGAAACTAATGTGTATTCACATCTCTGAGTCGATGGTGGAGTTTGTCAGTCTGTCTATAGGTTTTGAGAAACTGGGGGAGGTCCTGCTAGGCTCCAAACCGTTCTGTTTTCTACTCAAGCAGGGCACAGCCATGCATATCACCTCTTGGAAGTCTTTACGTAGGAAGATATACAATATGGGGTCAAGCAGGCTGTTCAGGCTCAGCAACACTCTTCCCAGTTGATAGAATACAAATATTGACTTCTCCCATTCACATATATTAGGGTGAAAAAGCAACACTACATACTTCACACTACCTATGAAGTGATAGGGGCCTAAAACCAGCACAAATATAATTATCACCAGATTAAGCAATCCCTGGATCCTCCACTTCTCCTCTGAGGCCAGTGAACTCACCTCAGCAAGGGATTTCAGAGTCTTTCTATGCAGGATACCAATGAAACTGAAAGGGATGACAAAAGATAGGACCAGAGTTATCAGGCGGTAGATAGTGAAATTTTGATCAGAAGGGTATTTCTCAATGCAAAAGGTGATATCCTCTTTATTTTTAGGGAAAAGGACTCCAAATGCAACAGAGGGAGGCACTGCCACTACCATCCACAATCCCAGGGCAACCCAGCGAGCATACTGTAGACGTCGCAGGGCTTGGAATTTCAATGGCCAGGCAATAGCCAGGTGTCGCTCCAAAGCAATGACACACAAAAAAAATATACCAGCATAAAGGCTGATGTAAAAGATAAGGCCAACAGCCTGGCAAGTGCTGGGACCAAATCGCCAAATGTGCTTTCTGCTGTAGTAGTCAATCCAGAGAGGTAAGGTAATGAGCTGAAGGAGATCTGAGAGAAGCAAGTTAATGACGTAGACTGGAAGGACATTTTCCGATTTAACTAAGCGATAAAGTCCATACAAAGCCAGCAAATTCAATGGGATGCCCACAGTGAAAAAGATTCCATATAGAACTGGAAGAAATACAGAGTCAATGGTGAAGTTGATGCCACAGGAATTGTTGAGACTTGAGTTACTGGTCCAGCTGTATGCACTCTGGGCGGGAGTTAGATAGTCCATCTTTGTTCTGAAATAAAATAAGATTGAAAATGGGATTACAATAGTTTTTTTCAGAGTGGAATGTGAGAGTGAATAAGTTGGTAGAAAATACCTTCACCCATCTAAGTTTCTTTTTTTGGGTCCCTATAACATAAAGCACAGTGCCATCTACTCTACTGTTGAATTTGTAATAATATTTGTTGTTGCTATATTCCTTCCTAATACTAGTGTTCTTGTTTTTTAGCATATTTTTTACAGTATACACTCAAATTAAAATGTTAAGAAGCATTGTGTAAAGCATTCATTTTAAGACCAATTGCTGAAATGTTGCTGTGGTCTGAAACAGCACACAGACTTATTTTAAATGAAAAACGGAAAAGATTTTGCAATAATGAGAACAGAGAAACTTGTTCTTTGAGTTACTTGTTCTTGTTAACCAGATCTGAGTACTACAGGAAAATACCATTAATATAGCACAACAGTATTCAGACATCTGCTGACAATGTTAAAAAGCTCCATTATTAACATAATTACCACCTTTTTGTTTAAAAAATAAAAAAAATGCAAAGATATGTTTTATTTAACTTTATTTGTATGTTTTGTGTGTTGTCACTTTGTCTTTTTTTGCATTTATCAGTTCCAGACACACATTATACCACTTCAGATTTCACAGTTGAATCTTTCTGACAGCTGTCCCTTCCCTTTGAAATTTACAATGGAAGCAAAAGCTGTGTAATGGATGACTCAGGTGAAAAACAGGGAGCTCATCTGGCAAGGAAGTGGTGCGTTATTATCAGCATCCATCAACAATATCTTGTTGGGTTCAGGTCTGTGGAATATAGACAGTCCATACTGTATGATACAGTCCAACTGTATAATACATATATTAATACAATTCTTGTTCAAGGAGGAGAAAAAAAGGCCGCTCTTGGCCCTGCTTGGAGGAGGTGAATGGCGGCTGCATTACCGAGTCCAGTCAATCAGGAAGCTGGAGAGCATGTGGAGCAGACAGAAGCCAAGCAACAAGCGTGAGGGACTCTTAGGAATAATGGAGAATATAACATAAGTTCTGTCTCTGGCGAGAGTAAGGGCTAAGCATCAGAAACGAAGAATAAGCCTCATCATCTTCATTAGTTGCAACCATATCAGTACCCTAGTTCATAACTCGTCTTCCAGTTGCTAGGTGCTTCATTTCTACAGTAGTTTGTTTCAACATAGACAGACTCAGAGTAATTAAAATATGGTCATTTTAGTTAAAAAGATGATATATTTGACTGCCTTTTGGCTATTTGTACATTATTGGTGTTGCAAGTCAACAACACTATAAATGTTATTAAAACAATATTTTTAAGCTTTCTTTTATCTCTTTCCTGTCCTATTGTAGTTAATGCTGCAACTTTCACAGCGCAAGATATGTCAACAATGCAGCAAATTGTGAAACTCCTCAATTACTTTTTTTTTACTTTAAGAATTGAAGAGGTACCAATTCTAACCTTATTTTAAAGTTTCGATTTCAAATTGAAAACATATGTTAATTTTTTCATTTCACAAGAAGCTGCTGGTTCTGTGCTTAGAGCACAGTCTAAAAGTGGAGTGGTGCCAGAGATGAGTTCCAGCACAAATCAAACACATGTATTTGCCCATTATCCTGTTGTAATACACAGTGTAATGTACACTTCTGTCCAACAGCACTGAACTGCATATGATAGTTCGTTTAAAGTTTTTCAGAATGTATTTATTCTTCTACAATACAGAATTTGACAGTGCCTGGGAAAAATGCCTATACAATCACACAACCTCTATTATGTTTATCACAGAGCATAAGAAACATTTCAGTTTTTTTGGTCTTCCATCAAATTATTGATTACTAGGTGAAAATCTCATGACTTGGACTTCTTTCAAGTACTCAGAAGTAAGACCCTCTTGCTTCTTGCTTTATTTTGAATGTTATTAATGACAAGTGTTTACATATAGAGCTTCGTCTTTTTGTGAAAAGGCATGCTGATTTGAATTCTCAGCAGCAGTTACAAATACTAAAGCAGGTGGTCTAATTGCTGATAAGAAACAAGGGGAGGACAAATATTGATGATCAAATAGAATGCAGAAACACAGAATGCCAGGAGAGCAAACAGACTGATAGAGCTGATAGACTCTAAATAGAAGATGTGAATTTATATTCTCATGCAGAACATGAGAAGGTGTCACAAGGTATCAAAGTATGAAACTTTTTCTCGTGATTTTTACCATAATATCCCAATTCTTGAATAACATGGTGGATATGCAAATCTGTTTGTATGATGATTACTTTCATATTTTAAAGGAATCTTTCTTGGTCTTGTACACCAGGTGATGATTGCTGTAACTCCTGATCGTGTTTGTCAGTAACAGTCCACTCCATGTTTTCGAAGCTTTATTCTGATAAATTATCCTGTGTTTATCACTGTGCCATCACTGTGCCATCACTGCTATTTTGAGATTCTTGCTTTACATCTGATCAGTTTTGTTTATCTTATGTATCAATTATATCAGTAATTAGCATAGATTATATATGTAGTTCAGGTGGGTAGCTGTGTAGATTTCAAAGGAACAAGTAAAGGTTTATTCCATGCTGGAAAGAGAAGAAAGGAAACACAACGTTTCGGCTTGTATTAAGTGATATTTCTGATTAACTTTCTGTGTTAAGATTTATTTGATGAGAGAAAGGTCTTTAGTAGGTTATCCAATGAAAGCCTCTGTTCAGAATACAGGCTAAACACTACAGTATATCCTAGACTTTAAATGCTGGCTTTTCTACTAGTTAACTTCCATGGAACGCTGGAGCTCCAGAATTAGCTGCATGTTCAAAAAGAAAAGCCATTAAAAAAAAAACCCAGCAACATACAATGGGATAAATTTAATTTAATTTAATTTAATGTTTAAAGTTTTAAACATGATAAAACATAGTTGTAAATTATACAGAGGAGATTTGATTTGATTGATTTCGTAATCGAAAAGCACAAACACAGCATAATCATTTCAAACAAATAAGTAAATATGGCTTCCAGATCTTACATTTGACTTCATGTTGACTCAAAAATTAGAAGTTTTCTTTTATTTGCCATACATACTATAAAGTTTAGTGCTTGTCAAACATCAAAAGTCTTTCTTATCATTACAAGTTATAAGATGAATACAATAATCAGTTTCTCAGTGTTCTAAAATTAAAATTAAATATTTTCTCCTGCTGCATTAAGAAGTTTCTCTTTTTGTAATGATTTTTTTCAAATACACTTAAGAAAATTCAATATTTTCTATCATATAGATTTGATAACTCCAATTTCAGGTGAAACACAGGAACACACCATCATAAGCTCATTTAGGAACACTCAAGCTAAGCTAAGCAAGCGATTTAAAATATTCTGTTGTACATTGAAAAACTAAATATATAGTTAAATAATAACTGGATAATTTTGTAAGATACTGTAAGTAAACAATACTTACTAAAACTTGTAGCAGATGTTGCTTGTGATTTGTATTGTTAAATGTCTTTAAAATAAGGAAGAAGCTTTTTCTATAACTGAAATAAGGAAGAGGCTTTTTCTAAAGGTGGATATGAAGTCATACTTCAGTAGTTACAGCTGGGAAGCATTTTTTTACATATCTTACAAAAGATAAAAAGCAGTATACTGTACACTTCTGCAATGTCATTCTACCAACATGAGGAATATTCATGTCTCTTATCGTACTTACAGTAAATTACTTATTACTTAATTTTCCATATGACTGGGTTCTGTGTAATACATATTATATATTTTAAAAATGAAGGAAAATGTCTGATTTTATGAGGGAATTTTTGATTTTTTGTCAATATTTCCACTTAATTTATAATGGATTCCAACAGATGTTAAGTAGTTTATCCAATTATACAGAAGACAGCGAGGCATCTTAGGCTTTTCTAGCTGGTTGTTTATGGTTTTGGTCTTTATGTGCTAAGAAGATAATATTTAGTAGTTAGCAACATCTATATCTTTGTATTAGATTTACTTAAAATTTTGTTTAATAGCAATTGTACATGTATTTTTTTCATTGAAAATGAATTCAATTATTTAATTTAAACACTTTTGCAAACAGTATGTGCAAAGGAGGATTGCCAATTCTGAAGACAAGAGTAGAGGTCAGTTACAATGTATGATTTGCCGCTCATACAAAGACAGAGGGAGGCTTGAAATGTCAGCATGATTTTTCTACTGGTTATAAAAATATCTCTCAGCTCTGTAAGACCAGAACTGATTTATAATAGTCATGAAGAAATGACTGAGGTTTTATTTCAAAAATAGCAAAGCCATTTTTTATGACACTTTCTCCAGTTCCTAATATAAAACAATTGTGTGAGTTATGTGTAGATATTTAATGGTACAAGTCAGAATTAACAGGAGATGTGCCATGAATTTACAGAACTACCAAAATTCATTATTTAGTGACTATTGGACTATTAATGGTCTGCCTCCAATATGAATTTGAGCTCCCTCAATCACAAATCTGTTGGTGCAGACTAATGTGAGTTTGACATAAGAAAATAATCTGGAAATAAAAACATGAGTACACAAATTGATAAATGAAGAAAGTCAGGAAGACTTTGTTTTCTGCAACTTGATCTTATTATATGTATAGAATAAACAAGACCATTAAAGGTCCAGAATGTGATACTGTGGAAGGAAAAGACTCCGTCTTTAGAGTATCATGGTGGTGTGGAGGCTGTGTTTCTGCATTACAGGTCTTGAATACTAGAATCGGTTTAATTGAGTACTGAGATGACTTTAATGTGGAGTTTGCATGTTCTTCCCACGTGCCCTTAGGCTTTTTCTAGTGTTCTGTTTTCTTCCAATTCTCTCTGTGGATGATTTGTGTCTGTACAGTATATTTTCCCTGAGTCTGAGTGTGTGTTTACTGATGGACCTAATAAGTCTGTCTAGAATGTGGTCCTCTCTTTTACCCCGTGTATCTTGAATAGGGTACAGTTTGCTATCAGCATTAAAAGGAATAATCAGTGTTATTATAATAAACAGCTGCATTGTGGATTTTTAACAACATACTGAAGGTATTCTGAAAGTGTTTGAAAAGGTCCATTCTGTTGAACATTTTGTTAAATCGTTTTTGAAGAAAATATGTGACTTTTTATGTGCCACATTTTTCTGAAAAGCTGTGACTATTTGAAAAAAGGCAGGCAGACTTAATAATGCATTAAAATCCCATGACTCCAAGTTTGTGAAGGACTTTTACATTGTTGATGACAAGCTGATAAATGGTACATGAATAACATAATGATGGACAATGAGGTAATCTGAACTCTCAAAGAACAAAAAACAAATATTAGTTCTTATAATCCTATGCTCTTATGTGTGTTGCATATGCTTAGTTGTAGAGGAGTTAGCACTTCATCTCTAAGTTCAGTTTTTACATAATCAAGGGATTGCTATGATGGGTGAGGCCAAAGCACTACCTGTTGTCCATTGAATCAGAAGATTGAACCTAAAGCCTTGGCCAAGAGCAAATCATTCTACTGGGATCAGCTGGAAAACATTACAGCCTCAGGTGTTTTGGGGGAATTCTCTACAAGATTTGCACACCAGCTTGGTGTGCTTTTGCTGATTCTTCGTGGCAGTATTGCTCAAGCTCCCTTAAGTTGCTAGGGCATTGTTAACGGACAGCACTTTAAGTATTTTCACAGATTCTCAATAGTGTCAGGGCTGCAAGCTTTCAAGCAACAAAATATGAAAGCTACCAAAGGGTCTGGAAACTTTTGCAAGGCAGTGTACTTATGTGTCACAGAACTCGTGTAACTCCCACTTGTTCCTCTCACAACCTACAACTTTGACTAATACAGTATACAGTATGTCACAGAATGTGTCAGTGCAACATTTTAATGCTGTTTTACAGTATTTCTTTTAAGCTTCAAAACTTTATATTTGAGGATAAACGGAAACATATTTTACCTGTATTAAGATAGCTTGATAAAAATGTTTAAAATCCCTCGTTAATGGACTTTTCTACAAAAATGTAAATTAAAGTAACACTTTACAAGTTTCAATGTTTAGAAAAATTACAATACTAAGGAGCCATCATTCATTCATCAAATTGTTAGGCTTCAGTTCCATTGTATGCATTAATACTATTGATTAACTACAACTTGTGCAAATTATTCTGGAGAGATCAGAATAATTTTTGATCAAAATAATTGTTTTTTCTCCTATCATGGATGGGGTTTGAAGTTCAGCCTACATTTCAGTGTGATCAACGTCTCTATTCCATATTTATCAGAAACAACAATGTAGTGATCATCCGGGTTGTAGAGCATAAATAATCACTTAACTCATAATTACCTTATCATACCTTTTGTTTGAAAAAGAAAATACAACACTGGCACAGAAAGCCCCATACATACAGTAATTCTGAATTTATTAAGATGCTGGATTATGGAAAAGTTTGTAAGAGAGTAATAATGTTTTTTAACCAGCTGTCTTTCTTAAATACAGGAATTCCTTCAAATATGGAACATATTTGTTCTGGAGTGACCACATATACACTTATACTTTATTTTTCCCATCATATGCCAATAAGTTAACCTATATTTCCTACACACTCATACAGGTAACCTAGATTACCTATAAACTGATTTTTACTCATTCACATATAATGTTTAATTTACTTTGCTTTTTAGATTTTAATGAAATAAGAGTAATTGTAAGAATCAGAATTATCAATATAATTGAATTCTTACTTCAAAGGGGACCTGAACTGGACAAGCAATGCAGGAATAGTTGGTGTCCTTTGGTTAGAATAAACCTGGCATGCCATGCAAAACCAATGGAAAGAAAAGTCTTGCAATCCAAAATTCTTGACAATGTAAAGAGGATACAACTGGAAATATTTTGAAAAGGGGAAGATTAAAAATTAAGGAGGATTCAAACAAAATGAATCAGATATGATCTTACACTAGATAGCTCGCTGATCTCAATGCTGATAAATAGTCTCTGAAGTAACAGCCAGTAGACGGATGGAAGTCAGAGCAGCCAGTGAAGTCCTGCAAGTATTATTCATGTGTTGATTCATGCCATCTGTCCACATGTTGGAGGAGGATTGAGTGTGCTCAGTACAGATGTCCATGTTTACAGCAGTTTCATAAGGATACAGCATTACCTGCTTCCTTATCCAAAAATTCACAACAACAGGATGGGTTTGTGTGATCAGTATTTCTTCTTTACTTATCTGTACTTTGTGTTATTCACTATAATAATAACAACGATTATATTGACTTTTTCTATGATGCTGACATTAAAGTTCTCAGAGAATAATTGTTACATATTGAATGTCATAAGCAATGGAATACCAAATAGCTGATGCACTTTCTTGCGTAATTATACTCTATGTTTATATTAAATAAAGAAAATTATAATACATAAAGTATTAATTGTGTACAGGAAATTATCACAATCCATTTGCTGTGTGTGAAAGAAGAGAATAAATCTCCAAAAATTTCCATTTAACACAATAACATTTGTAGGTGTATATACTATGTCAAGTCTAAAAACTTAGATTAAATATAAATGTATTTACAGGTTTATACATTTACAGAATATAGTACTTCTAATCCCAAAGGTTACAAAGCCCTTTACTTAAAGGAAGGAACCCACACTTTCCTCCACTGAAGTTAAGTACCTGTCTGGGTTGTGTGTAAAGCCATTATGAGCCAGAAACCATCCTACACAGCAGGTTAGGTACTGAAGTGCTACACCAACTGAATTAAGGAGGAACTTTAGAGAGGCCAAAGTCCAGAGTGGAGTTCAGTAAGTCACAGGGGTGAACATCCCTACGTTTCCTAAAATGTGCCATGGGATCTTTGATTACCAATGAGCACAAATCTTGATTTATTGCCTCCCCTCTCATATTCCTATAGTCTACCTACTTTAATTTAGCATGTGTCAGTTAAACATATCCTGCTTGATTATATTAAACTTTAATTTTCTTTAGGATTATGCTGTGTCACTGCTTAACTGTATACTGTACCGAAGATACTTTTTTTGACTGCTGATATGCCACATTAAGTGGCTGACTTCAGTCCTTTCCAATTAGAACACTTGCAGAATATTCCTATTAATGGTAATGTGAACACTGAGTTCTGAAGTGTTTCAAAGGGGGTTAGAGGTTAATTGAAGGCAGTGAAACATAGGTACCGATATAAGTTAGATACTGTAGCTGTTTTTGTGAGCATGGAAAGTGAAATATTTTATGAAGTAATAGTACCTAAGGATACTTTTATTTACAATATTTTTTTGTGTTTTAATTAATTTACATGTGCTGTAGATAACTTCTGTGAAACATGTTGAATTTAAGTAATTAATATTTCCAATTAATTCTTGGAGAAGAAAACTTCTACAGAAGTAGAATGGATCACTAGAATACAGAGTTGTTTTCAATTTAATCTGGATTTCAATAAATCATTTTTCTTTAATTAGCATCTTAGAATTTTCTAAAATAAAGCAATGAATCACTGCCTTGGATAAGTGCTGTAACATGAAGCAATA